CATCCCATCCCATCCCATCCCATCCCATCTTGCAAATAAGAGGAAAGAAGAACACAAGCTGAAATCCACAGGCTGGCCCGTATACTACCAGGTTTTATGGGATTCAGGAGAAAAAAGCATTGTAGTTTAGTCTGCCATACTAAGAGTTAGAAATGCTGCACTTCGAAAGCTGCATTTAGTACCTTGTGTAATTTTAAAAATATACCTAAGAGATTCTGCATGGAAGTTGTTGAATGAAATTTTGTCCTGTGTTCCTGCCCCTCAGAATTAGAAAGAAGGCATTAGAGAGGAGAGAGGAAACAATTATTGTGGATCGGGCTTGCAGACAAGAAACTCTTGCTTATGAGATGGTAAGTTGCCTGTCATCTTGTAGGATCTCAAGACAGTTCAGCACAGCCAAAATCCAACTTCTGGTTGCTTTTTTAATTTATTTTAATCATTATCAGAGAATCATGGAATGGTTAGGGTTGGAAGGAACCTTAAAGGTCATCTAGTTCCAGCTCACCCTTTCACTAATCTTTGTACGCTCTAATGTTTGCGGATAGAAGTTTGCAGTAATGATTAAGATTAAAGACATTCTGTAGAAAGGTAGGACAGGAACTCTGCACTGACAGTCTGTTGGTACCAGATGTAGTAAGGAGGAATTCCTGCTCATTACCACTGTGTGACTCCTTTTATGTGGTTGCTAATGAAGCATTATCTAAGGGATCAAGTGTACTGAGCATCATATGAACTTATTGTAGATCTAGACAGAATGCATGATGGTTTTGCTCCTCAAGTCCTGTGTTGGAATCTAAAGCTTTAATGTGTAAATGATTGAAAGCTGATTTCTGTAGGCCTGAAAGAGAAAGACCGTAGGAGCATGGTGGCACTATGTTCCTAATTTTCAGCTTTGTAACTGGAGTTTCTCAGCCGTTCTGAGCTGTCAGAATCCAAGACTGTAGTGATCAGCCCCTTGAAAGCCACCTGTAATGCCTTTAACTGTGCTTAGTGCCTCTCTTTAAGATTTCTTCACAACCTAAATAGGAAAACTTAATTTTTAAAATTTTGGAGTGCTGGAGTCTGTCACTTGAACAGGCAAGCCATGAACTACTGTAACGGTTAGGGATGGAGATATAGTGAGTAAGGACCCTTACTTGTGACTACTAAACATTTCTTCCCCTTGAGGTTTCATGGTCTGTCATGAGTGATCTTGTTGCAACTCTCCAGAGGCCCAGGCAGATGATGTTAACATTGAGATGCAACAGCTGTGTTGAGATCTTAGCCTAGGGCATATCTGAGAAAATATTTGCAATAGAAATCTTCATTAAGGGTTTCAGTGAGCAATGTCTTCTTTCTATTTCTGAAGGATGAGCATGTGGTCAGTTACTGCATACTTTAAGCAAGCTGTGGTTAACTGATTTGTGTATCAAAGCTGGTTGGTGTCCTAGAACAGGATGAGAGCAATAAGAAACGTGAGTCTGGAATGTATAGCATGAAGAAGGGAGATGCAGTGGATAGAGCACAAGCATCTCTAAGCTGAAATCTCACAGCAGTACACGCTCCTGTTATTAAATCTGGAGAACACTTCATGCTGGTGGGAAGTGTGCAGTCAGTATTCTCTCTTGATTTGTTGAAAAAGGAGGAAACTGACTGCCAGAGAAAAGTGCCTACCCTCATTCTCATAGCTGGGCTATTTCTTGAACACAAAGAAGGATGGAAAGGTTTTCACTCTTGTAAAACAGTAGTGTGGCAAGGATAGTGCTGGATTTTGGGTTTGGATTTTGAAGAAATTGAGACACCCAGCTATGTCGTTCCCTAAAAAGAAAAAATGACACAATAATTTTCATTTTTGAATACTTCTCCTATGGCTAGTTTCTAGGTCAGTCATTCTCAAGTTGAGGATTGGAATCCCCCTTTACATGTGAAAGCATTCAAAGAGCATTTCAAAGCATTAAGTGATGGAAGGTGGTAGCAGCTGTGTTCCATGACAGCAGAGTGGCAGTAGGCTTTAATTCCTTTATGCTGGGTTGCTCAGTAGCCAAGGTGTCGCCAGCTATCTTATAATTCTGCAGAGCTGAGGAATGAAGGAGAATGCTTGAAATAGTAATTACAGCAGTTTCTCACCTTTCCATCTTTGGAGAAAGTAGACTATTATCAATTAAGAAGGCTACACAGTCAAAAACAAGCTACAGTTAGAACAGCATTTCTCAGACTTTTATCCAGGGGTTATGATATATAAGTGGTTGCCAATATGATATATATATGTGTCTTTATTTTTCCAGGAGTCGCATGCAATTGGAAAGAGGCCAGAGAATCCAGCAGATCTAGTTGAGGAGGGAGAACTGCTTTTAACTCTGAACATCTTCTATCCTGTCATATTTCAGAAGGTTGGTACTAAATTCTCACGGTTATATTCTCTTGCCTCCTACTCAGGTACTGTCATGCTTTCTTGATCGGTTATAATCAGTGAGTCCACTAAGGAAGCACGGTAAACACTGTGGTAACTTCTTAAGTTTTTTCCAGAATCTGGCTTTCATTCTGTTAGTGGTTTACAAAACGAAATTTTACAGTAATTACTCAGCAGTTAATTATTTCACAGAAAGCTCAAAATATGAAACTAAACACACAAAAAGTACTCTATCTGGATTTGAGATAATTGTGGTCATTTTTCTGTCTTCCCTGCACTTTCTGGTAGGTAATGTGACTTGAGTTTCTGAATAAATCTGATAAATGGTAGCTTTAGGAGAAGCTGAGGCAAAGTGTTTAAAATCTTTTAGAGACGTAATGTGCCATATGCTGCCATCAATGACCTCAAGCTGAAAAGCAGTACTGATGCTGGCAAGTGATTTTTACTTCAAGCTTATATGTGGTTTTCTTTTTAGCATAAAGATCACAAACCTTATCAGACAGTCCTTGTACTGGGCAGCCAGAAGCTCACCGAGCTGAGAGACTCAATTTCCTGTGTCAGTGACCTCCAGATAGGTGGCGAGTTCAGCAGTCAGCCAGATCAAGCACCAGAGCACATCAGCAAGGTAAAACCCTCTGTGTGGAATGCTCTGCATATGTAGAAGCTTTGTAAACATACAAGAGAGAGGGAAGTAGAGTTTTGTTATTGTCATTCAGCACTAAATTCATCTGCATTAGTTCTGCCTGTATGTTGCACTACAAGTAAATAATTCCTGGTGGCCTTACCCAGTCAAACTGTTTTGTGCAGTGTCAAGAAAAACATTATTAGTGCTAATGCTGGGAGGTAGTAACACAGTGGGTTCTTGTGTAGATGTATCCCTGTGGACTGACTTGACTTGGAGCTTTATTCTGAAACACCAGAAAGCTAAATGTAGAGCACCTCCTCTGAACTTAACATGCTTTGGTGTTTGCAACTGGGTGCTGATCAGAAATAGGAATGAAGATTAATCCCCTCTTCCACAATTGTCAAGTGTTCTCTGGGGATATGCCGAAGGGGTCAATAAAGATATCTCAGTGACAGAGATTCCACATCCTCCATAGGCAACCTGTGCCAGTGATTGGTCACCCTCACAACAAAAATTGTTCCCTGATGCTCAGAGCGAGCATCCCGTGTTTCAGTGTGTGTCTGTTGCCCCAGGTGCTGTCAGTGGGCACCACTGGAAAGAGCCTGGCACTGGAAAGAGCCTATCTTCATTGCATCTTCCCTGGTGGTGGTTGATGATAAGATCCGCCCTTGACTCTTCTCTTCCCTGGGCTAAACAGTCCCAGCGCTCTTAGCCTCTCATAGGAGAAATGCTTCAGTTCCTTCATCTTCATGGCCTGTGTGGGATTCACTCTCCAGTATGTTCATGTGTGTCAGGTACTAAGGAGCTCAGAACTGGGCACAGGATTGCTTGTGGTACCTCACTAATGCTGAGGAGAGGGGAAAGATCACCTTCCTCAACCTGCTCACACTACTTTGTCTAATGCAGTACAGGACCCAATTTGCCTTCTTTGCTGCAAGGGCACATGCTGGCTCATGGTCAACCTGGTGTTTATCAGAACCCCCAGGTTCTTTAATGCCAAGCTGTTTTCCATCTGATGGGCCCCAAGCACATAGTGGTGCATAACGTTATTCCTCCCTAGTTGCAGGACCTTGTGCTTCTCCTTGTTGAACTTCGTGAAGTTCCTGTTGGCCAATTTCTCCAGCCTTTTGAGGTCATTCTGGGTGGCAGTATGATCACTGGTATATCAGCTGCTCTCTGAGTTTTGTGCCAGCAGCAAAGTTGCTGAGGGTACACTCTGCCTCATCATTTAGATTGTTAATGAAGATGTTAAATAGAACGGGACCCTATGCTGACTCCGGAAATACTCTACTAGATATTAGCCTCAAGCTAGAGTTTGTTTCACTAATTGTCACGCTTAGGGCCCAGCTACTCTACCAATATTAGGTATTAATAGTACAGTATATTATCAATATAATACAAATAAAAAAAGGTGTGATATGCAAGCTGAAATAAACCAGAGGATGTTGTGTATTTCTGTACATAATAGTGGAAAGATGGCGTATCCTTTTAAGGGTGCTGGTCGGCAGGAGTCAGCTGTGTGCCCTGGCAATCAAGAGGGCAAACCCTGTCTTGGAGTGCATCAAACACAGTATGACCAGCCGGTCAAGAGGGTGATTGTCCTGCTGTGTTCACTGTTGGTGCAGCCTCACCCTGAGTACTGTGTGCAGTTCGGGACCTCACAATTTAAGAAGAGTGTTTAAATACTTGAATGTGTCCAAACAATGGCAACAAAACTGGTGAAAGGGCTGGAAAACATGCCCTGTGAGGAGCAGCTGAGGACTCTTGTGGTTGTCTGGTTTGGAGAAAAAGAGGCTGAAAGGTGACCTCATTGCTCTCCGGAGCTTCCTGAGGAGCTGAAGAGTAGAGGGAGGTGCTGATCTCTTCCTCCTGGTATCCTGTGATAGAATGCATGGGAATGGCTGGGAGCTGTGTCAGGTGACATTCAGTCTTGATGTTAGAGAACATTTCTTTGTTGAGAGTGGTCCAACACTGGAGCAGGCTTCTTGGAGAGGTGGTCTGTGCTCCAAGCCTGTCAGTGTTTAAGAGGGATTTGGACAATGCCCTTAATAGCATGCTTTAATCTCAGCCCTGAACTGGTCAGTCAGTTGGACTAGATGATCACTGTAGGTCACCTCCAACTGAAATATGCTGTTCTGTTTTATTCTGTGCTTCTTTTTGGTTTGGTTTCCATTTTCCAGACAAACGCTATTAGTCAGAAAAACAGCAGGGGGATGTTTAAGATGATTGTGCAATATTAAGATGTTTCATTCCACAGAATGGTTACTTTTAACAAGGATCCTGGATTTTTAATGTGGTTACTACTACTGTTGGAATTCCCTGCAGAAATGAAATGGGGTATTCCTCCTTGCAAACTGAAGGATAATGCAAAGTCTAGGAGGGAGGAATGTCAGACTCATATCTGTGGCCAACATTAATTTGGAAAGACCTAACTCAAATTCCCAAGAAGTTTATAATGGAGGTACCCTTGGCTTCTATGACAAACAGCTGTTTTCTGAAGTTTGGAGCACTTTTAAAGGACTGGCTAACTCAGAACTGATGTGAGATACAGAAGTAGGTAAGGAGTTGCATTACTTAGACTTTGTGGTTGTAGAGCCAGGGAGAGTGACAGTAACAGAGCCGAAACAGATCGTCTGAATGTGAAACACATTTCTACGGCTGTGCCTTCGTGCATGTGCATCTCCAGTCACAAGTCCTATCTCTGGCCCCAGTGTCTGCATTTCCTGTGTTTTGACACCTTAAGAGTTCATAGCTCAGAGACCTCTGGGCACAAATGATCATTTGTTCTCTGCTAATAAAGACACATAAGACTGGTCAGGGGATCCAGAGTCGCTAGTTGTCCACAGTTGCCCATTTGATTCTTATTTAGTCTCTTACGCCAATGTAGTCAGTCTGTAAAATAACTCATGCTCACTTCTTGTCTTCTACTCTTTGTTTTCCATTTTAAGCTGTTTCAGGTCATGGGCAACCTCATGACAGATAGGTCATTAGGGTTCTGTGACTTAATGAGCAGTGAGCAACTCCCAAGTTAAAGAACTGGAGCAAGCTGGTTACCATGTTAGTCATGGAAAGGAACCAAGCTCCTTGTCGTTACCTTCCCGAGTCATTGACTGTCTGACCTGCCTGCACATGCACCTGTTGAAGAATAAATATAATCTTATCTGAGAGCTAGCACACAGCGTAATTAGAGATGTAAATTTGAGGACTGCTTGACTGTGATAAAACTGTGTGTTGATATATGTTGGAGAGATGCTTTATCAAAATGCTCACTCTTAAAGCCAGTGAATGAAGGATTCCTTGCAGTTTTCTATACACACAAGGAAAACATGGGATTTAAACAGGCTTTGTGCAATACATGGATGTCAGTCTATAATCGCAGGTAAAGTTTTTTTGCTGAAAGGTCGTGAAAAACTTCTTTTCTTCAAAGTGCAATTGAAAATACAGAAAAAAAAATGTATTCTGTACCTTACAGGTCCAACCGTTTGTGTATATAGTGTATCTTAGTGTTGCTTGTATGTTTTATGGTTGTGCATAGCTGTGTATCATAGAATTATAGAATCATAGAATGTTAGGGGTTGGAAGGGGCCTCTAGAGATTGTCTAGCCCAACCCCCCTGAAAGGCAGGATCACCTAGGGCAGGCCTCACAGGAATGCATCCGGGTGGCTTTTGAAAGTCTCCATGTGGGGATGGCTTCCTGCGCAGCAGTCAGTACCATAGTATTCCACTCTGAAGTGGTTTGAGGGGGTGTGGTCTAAGTCCTTCAGCCTCTCCTTACTTCCAGTAATGAGAGCTGTACAATGTAGCTGATCTGTTTTCCCCAGCCCAAAATAGACTTGCATTTTAGCAGTATTGCTCTTGCCACAGAGGTGATTATTTTTTTTACTATTATTTTTCTTCAGCAAAATGTAATAAAGTACCTGAACAATATGGTTCCATGCTTGCTGTGGGTTTTCAATCTGTGGCATCTCCCTCCTTCAAGGCCCACTGCAGAAGGCTTCCTTGAACTGTTTCTTAAGCACTGTACGTGTGATCAGTTTGATAATATACACTGCTACCTGGTCTCAGTCTTTAAGGAGTTGTAGCACAAACGAAAACAACACCCTCTTGTATGCCAGAAAGAACTTGGAAGAGCACAATTTAAAGGTAAAAAGATACATGGATAGAAAAGCACAACCTTTCCAGGTTTTATCTGCTCACATTACTTGTTTATAGAAATGTTTTGACAGCAACAACAGAAGATGGAAATTATGGGAAGCAGATATTAATTAGACAGTTACTATTTTCTTAATTGTTAGATTACATTTGCATTGAAATATAATATTTGTATGTATTTTCATCTCTTAATTGTGGCTATTTATGTCTCATGTAAATCTATTCAATTTCTTTCTCCTATAGTGTAGCTGTTCATAAGTTGCAAAACCACACACAATGCTTTGAGTAGAATCGTAGAGTGTCTTGAGTTGGAATGAACCCTTAAGAATCGTCAAGTCCAACTCACAGGACTACCTAAACTAAACCATGCGACTGAGAGCATCATCCAGACACTCCTTGAACTCTGACAGGCTTAGTGCTGTGACCACTTTTCTGGGGAGCCTGTTCCAGTGACCAACCACCGTCTTGGGAAGAACCTTTTCCTAATGCCCAGTCTGAATTTCTCTAGATGTAGCTTCATTTCATTTCCTCGTGTCCTAGTGATGGTCACCTGAGGATAGAAAGAGATCAGCACCTCTTTGTCTCTGCTGCTCTCCATGGGACAATTGTAGACTGTGGTGAGGTCACCCTTCTCCAAGGTGGACAAGCCAAGTGACCTCAGCCACATCGTGTAAGTCTTGCTCTTGAAGCCTCTCACCACCTTGGTCACCCTTCTCTACACACACACTAACAGTTTTATGTTCTCCTTATACTGAGGCACCCAAAACTGCACACAGTACTCGAGGTGGGGCTTTGCCAGTGCAGTGCAGAGTGGAACAGTCACCCCCTTGACCAGCCAGTGATGCTGTGCCTGATGCACCCCAGGGCACAGTTAACCCTTTTGGCTGCCAGAGTGTGGTGTCGTCTTGTATTCAACTTAATCATTAACCAAAACCTCTAGATCTCTTTCCTTGACACTTCTCTCCAGCCTCTTGTTCCCAAGTTTGTAAAAATACAGATAAATGTCTCTGCCTCATAGCTTTAGGAGAGAACAGCTCTGTGAGCGTTGTTGTGCAAGCAGTCTGGAGAGATAAACAAAATGATGTTGATGGTGCTGTTTAAAGAAGATGTTCTGCAGTTTTTTTATTTATTGTGTTCCTTCTCAAGGAGATGCTTGCAGCTGGAATGTGGTTTTTTTAATGGATGGATATGATTTTACCTAACTAGTTCTGTAGTTCTTCTGCAGGATTTACTACATGTGTCATGGAGGCTCTTGGGTTAGCTAAGTTTCTGGAGGTGATTTGGAATTTAGGGACTCCTGCACTGTTGGTATTAGTGCTATAAACTGTTAATTACCTTTGATAGTGAAAACCAGTACAAATGGTCTGCCTACATGTGATAAACTTTGTAATTAAGGGAGAATTTTGAAGGATGCAGGATTTTCATGGAGTCATATAGTCATAGAATGTTTTGAGTTGGAATGGGCCTTTAAAGCTTATCCAGCACAAGCCCCCTGCCGTGAGCAGGGACATCTTTAACTAGACCAGGTTGCTCAGAGACCTGTTCAACCTGACTTTGAATGTTTTCAGGGATGAGGTTTCTGCCACCTCTCTGGGCAACTTGCTGCAGAGTCCCACCACAGTGAAGAACTTCTTAATACCTAATCTACCCTCTTTCAGTTTGAAACTGTTACCCCTCATCCTGTCAATACACTCCTTGACAAAGAGTCTCTCCGCAGCCTTCCTGTACGTTCCCTTTGAGTACTGGAAGGCCACTACAAGGTCTCCACAGAGCCTGCTCTTCTCTAGGCTGAACAGCCCCAACTCTCAGCCTGTCCTCACAGGGGGTGTGCTCCAGCCCTCAATCGTCTTCATGGCCCTCCTCTGGAGTAAGTGGAGCAGGTCCATGTCTTTCTTATATTGAAGGCCCCAGAGGTGGACACAGCATTGCAGGTAGCATCTCAAGAGAACAGCGTAGAGGTCAGAATCACCTCCCTTGATCTGCTTGTCACACTTCTTTTGATGCAGCCCAGGATGTGATTGGCCTTCTGGGTAGTGAGAGCCAGCTCATACTCAGTTTTTCATCCACCAGAACCTCCAAGTCCTTCTCAGGGCTGCTAGGTCTGGATGAGGCTTTGAGCAGCCAGTTCTAGTGAGAAGTGTCCCTGCCCATTGCAAGAGGGGTTGGAACTAGATGATCTTGAAGGTCCTTTCTGACCAAACCGTTGTATGATTCCGTATCAGTACTGTGCAGTTACTTAATTTGTGCACTTTGTGCAATAATACATGCATGCTTTTTCTATGTTTTTGTAGAAATCCGTAACTGCTATGGTGGTGATAGAAATAAGAGAACTAAAATAATGCATAATGGCTTGAGAATAATAGCAGGGTAAATGCATAGCCAGCAATCATATAAGCCTTGTTGTCATATCAGCATCTAAAACTAGTGTAAAGCTTCTCATAGAAACATGTAGAAAGAGGTCTCATAATGCACTTTAGATACATAAAGTGCTTGGGTTTTGACATGTTCTTGTTTGAGGTTTTTAATCTAACACTAATGCAGACTAACCTCTCTCTATCTCCTTCTCAGGATCTCTACAAGTCTGCTTTTTTTTATTTTGAAGGCATCTTTTATAATGATAAAAGATATCCAGAGTGCAGAGATCTCAGCAGGTACAGTATTTGTAGACATGACTAAAGAAGGCCTTAAAGGACAGGAAAATTATTTAATTTTGTGTATGATGTGTGGTGTTTTAAAGACTGGAATGTCTAGTGCATGAAGCTAGAGTGAACTTTTCTTACCATCTTTTGGTGTTGAGTTGATTTTTACATAGAAATTTACTTTTACTTGCTCTACTTATTCTTTCCACTCACTTCCCTTCTGAAAGGGAATGAATACATTTTTACCCTACAAATCCTGTTTTGCCCTGTTGGGATGGGATTGCTGTGGAAGGTGACAGGTGCCAGTCTGTACCGGCTTTTTAAGTGCCCTCCCTAGTTGCGATAACTATCAAAAGCCTGAGAGGCAGTAGATGGTCACAAAGACACCACCACAGCTGTGTGGAATTCAGTTGTTCTGCTCATTTTTGAGAACAGGCTGAATGCCTACATGGTAAAGTCAACAAGGGAACTGTGTAACTGTTGGGAAGAGAAACCTGAGATGACATTGCCAAGAGTTTCAAGTATCTCTTATCTGGAACTAGACCTCACAACAGCTAAGCACAAGTCAGGTTGATTTAAACTATACATAGTACTTTATTTCAAGGAGGTATGGGCTTGGAGACACACTAGTGATGTTTAGATCAAGATGTTAAAATGGGTGGCATGGAAGAGCTCTGAGTTTGGACTCTGATCTTGTGCTGGATTTGGTGTGTGACTTCAGAGAATAATTATTTTGCTCCTTCTGTTTCTGTCTATGAGCAACAGTGGTTTTAATGGAATGGCTTGTGCTAACATACGCAGTTGTAGAAATGAAATGCCTTATATACAAGAGTGTGCTGAAAAGCCAAGAAATAATTGCAGCAGTTGCCAGTGCCCTTCCACTGCTAAATTTTGGAAATGTAACTGGACAGTTTTCAGCTTTGTATTGTTCCTTGGCAAGAACAACAAAAAAAAAAAGCTTTTTAATACTTTCAAACAAAATTATTGACCAAGGGAGCAAAAATGACCTGTTGATAACTTGAATTATTGAAATGCTTGAGAAGTGTTTTTTTGCCAACAACCTGACCTGGATGACTGCCATCAGGTGCATAAACTCTGACTAGAACTTCTTCACAAGCTGCCTGGTAGAGATTTAAAGGCAAGTGTTCCACAAGAACCGTTCACAGTTCTGTGGGGTTGTGATATTGCTGTGAAATTACCTTTAAGTTATTATGAAATGTTGTAAGCTGTTCTGATTTCCATTTTTATGACTATCTCCCAGTGAAGAGTTCTGCACGTGTTGTCATTCAACGCCCTCCCC